CTCAGTCCACCTAAAGGATGGGTGTCTAGAAAAGAGGAGAATCCTGACTTTGGTGGAAACTCACAGCCAAGTGCAGGTGAGGTCCATTCACTGGGAGCCTTCCCTTTCTGCAGTAGGAAAGAAAGGGACACCTGCCTTGCCTGGGCTGCCCCTCCTGTCCTCCCGGCCTGGGCTCCACCTGCAGCTGGAAGGCATGACACTCGTGCCAGGGACTATGACACCATTTCCCTGCCAGGGTGTCTCATTCTCCGTGTGCATCATGTGTCTCACTCTAGGCACGACTGTTTCACCGAAACGTGGACAAGAGTGGTCCAGGTGGCCAGTCTTTCCCTAGAGGTCCAGGAAAAGCCCTGCAGAGCACAGTGGGGGTGGCCTGCAGTTTCCTCCACAATTGGTCTGCAGAAACCACCCTGACATTCCAGAAAAGCAACACAAACTGAAAGGGATGCCAGACAGGCCAGGGGGAGGACCGGGAGTGGTCTCCAGCTGACCTGTGATCATCAGAGTCCTCTTGCCCGGTGGGAGTTTTCACAGCACAGTATCGCGGTCTGCTGCGTAGCTGCTCCTTCCATCCAGGAGCCTGCACATTGCCCTTCGTTAATTCCCATTTTTATATGACCAGCCTCAGATTCCACAGCAACAGCTGCCTAGCCTGGGCCCTCCCACCTGTGCTACCTGGAGCTATGGCCAGGAGCTCACCCACCCCTCAGCCATATGTGACTTCGCAGATCGAGGCAGGAGAGAGTGCAAAAGCATACAGGCACATTTTCATCATAATTGAAGGTGAGAGTTCCTGAGATTCCATATTCATTAAACCTTCCTAGACATTTACAGGTGACAACTTCTCCAAAGGAAATGAAGATGGATCTTTGCTTCAAATGTATTTTTAATTGGAGGCAATATCTTGTGATAAATATGTCTTTACTGGCCTTTGAACTGAGGGCAAGCGTGGCTATATTCCAATGGACTGGTGTGCGTTCCAAGGGTGTAATTGGGACCTCTCGCGGGGGCCCATGCCTGTAACCCCAGCACTCTGAGAGACTGAGGTGGAAGCATTGCTTGAGCCCGGGAGTTTGAGACCAGCCTGGGAAACATAGCAAAACCCACCCCTAAAATATTTCTCAAAAAATAATCCAGGTGTGGTGGCATGCACCTGTAGCCCTAGCTACCCGGAAAGCTGAAGTGGAAGGATTGCTTTAGCGCAGGATTTTGAGATTGCAGTGAGCTTTATCCCATTACTGCACTCCAGCCTGGATGACAGAGTGAGACTCTGTCTCTAAAAAAATTAAAAAGAAAAATACAAAAGTATAATTGCATCTTATTTGTTGGATGGTTTATATATCATGTGAAGAGCTTTCATGCTTGTATCTACGATAACATTACAAAATAAATAAGATGACCCCACATTTCACCAGCGATAAAAGTGAAACTCAGCTCCCAGAGAAGCAATGGCCGAGAAAAGATTCAAGTTCTGTACTATCAAATTCTAATTTCATCATCTTATTTTCATATTTCAAACAAAATGATTCTTTTGGTTAGATATTAATTGGTTCAGATTAGCCCTACATGGGCACCAAGAATGATACCAAACCTTGGTTTCTCTTCTCTTCTTCTTATGCTGTTTGTGATGATTTTAAAACACACAGCTCTGCACTTATCCTAGAATGACTGTTTGTATTAGTAAACACCAATAGATCATATTTTCAATATTCTCAAATTTTGTTGTAGAACATTACTCTTACTGAGAAAATGGTTCATCTCGGGAGTAAAGACTTCTCTGCAGACTTGCGTTAAGGTCACTGCCGTAACTTTGGCCAAAACTCTCATTGCTATGCCACATTTGAAGCTTCAGGAATTGATGACAGTTTTGAGTAGCTGACACCTGGAAAAGGGGCTACTGTGGCAAGACTGGGGGGCGGCAGAGCCGACTGCTGTGGGCCCTCCCTGCTGGCCAGAGTTCCTCCTGAAAAGGTGCCGTGGAACTCCACCACAGAAATGGTGGCTCCCACGCCTTTCACAAGCCATGGCTGGGGTCTCCATAAGCAGACACGAGAGGCATGTCAAAGGCTTATATTTAAAACGTGTGTCCAGTTCCTTCTCTGTGAATCACCAGGAGCAAAGAGGGGTAAATGTGATCACTTTTGGTGGCCAGCTTTGGGCAAGCTCACGACAGGAATCTGTTCTTTGAAAGCGCAGAGCGTTAGCTTTGAAAAGATGTGCTCAGAGAGCCATGAGCTAATGAATTTCATCAGGGCAAATCTAGCAGCTCGAGTTTACCTGACCTGTTTCCAAAGGCATCTGTCCCCATCCTAGGCAAGCAGGCTCTATCTGGCGTCCACCGGGGCAGGGACCTGCAGCTGAAGAAAGAAATGGAAACAGCACTTCTAGGCTGTGCACACCCCATCCTGCCAGACACCACAGCTTTTTAAAACCATTTGCCAAGCCTCTTACGAAAACTTCCATGCAGGGGGAATCGGGGTGCCAATAAAGTTGTAAGGCAAAGGCCAATTTTTCTTCATTTGATAGCTCTGAGCCTTCACGGGGCCCCACAAGCAGGCAGCGAGCAGGCAGAAAAGGGCAGGATGACTTGACTTTTTGTTCTTCAAATCGACTCCCTGGCAGTGAAATAGCTCCCCAAAGCCATTCCTGGTATGTGTGTAAATTCTCTCCAAACAGAGGAAAATTTCTCAATTAGGAAACTTTACCAGGAAGCCTTCAGAAGTAAGGGAATAGCAGGCAGGCAATGCTTATCCCAGAAAGGTTGCTGCTGGCCCCGAGAGGCTGGCCCAGCCTCATTCTTTGACGAAAGAATGATCTAGGCCTGAGCATAAAACCACGGATTCTCTTGGAAACAAGGTCACTCAGCCATGGCTGTGCCACCAGGAAGTCATCCTAACAACAGCAGCTGAGCTTCCTGGCATTCCAGAGTGAACCCAGCCACTTTCTTTCATTTAAAGAGCATAGGAAGAAATATCCTGGACCCTAACAATGCAGTAGAGGATAAACTTTTGCCTCTTACTTGCAGTTTTGTCTCAGATGAGAGCGAGTTGATAAAAACTGAAGATGCCACATTTTTCCCCAGGAAACACAGCTTTGCTATCAGTCACCCACCCAGCAAATGCTTCATTGCGAAGTTCCCTTATCAAGATTGCATGCAATAGACGGAGCTATTTTGAAAGTCAATGTCTCGCTCTTTTTGAAAGCTTCACTCGCTGTGTGTTTTTAGATGCAAGCTTCAAACTGTCAGAGTTTTGTTGCTGTTGATAAAGCCGGCCTGGGATTGATGCCCAGAGGGCGGTCTGATTTGAAATTATGAGACAAAACTTGAATTAAAATAATTCTTTTGGTAGCTCAGAAAAAGAAGGAAAGAAGACACACTCTCTGAGCTGCACAAATAGATAATCCATAATTGTTATTGGTCAATGAATGTCTTTCTTTAGCAGCTTTAATGGTATTTCTTACACACTTAGTATTTGCCAAGATAATATTTCTGCCGACATTTGAATCTAGTGGCCTCCAGGAGACTTGGCCCGCAGCATACTTCATGCTCTGAGTGCTGGCTGGGCATTTGTGTGAATATAGACATCAGAAATGAAAACAACTGGCTTTTCTTTAACAACGTTAAATATTTACACCCTAAACCTCCGTTAGCTTTCTGTCCATTTTGAAAGGCAATTTCCAATAGGAATGTTCCTATTACACTTTAGCTACTTTGGACCCTACAAAACGGTCTCAAACCTTCTCAGTAAATATTGTGGTCACATAAAAGATCTCAGAAACTCTAAACACTGTGTGAAATTAAACAGGTGCAGAGTGTTTTTGGGGGGGTGACTAAAGTGTTCTGGAATTAGACAGTTGTGTTGCTTACACAAGTTTGTGAATGTACTAAGCCCACCGGATTGCACACCTGAACACGGTGTGTTTTATGGCATCTGAATTATATCTCGATGAAAATAAAATTAACCCTTGAGGCCACATGCTCTCCTTTGAAATCTACCAGCTATTTCACGTGAGCCTTCAAGTGGCACTTTCTTAAACAGGGTATTTTTCCTTAAATATTCCCCTGGTTTCATATAAAATTTCCGCTCATTTGAGCAATGAGCTTGGGTTTCTCTAGCTGTGGGGTATCACTTGTGAAGACATTTTTTTAGATTGGTAGCCTTTTATTGGAACAAGTCAGAATAAGAACTGCAGTGTGTGTGCTATGTAGCGAGTGCAGGTATCCCTCGCAGAGTGAGGCTTGCTCCAGCTCTGTGCACGTGAACCAGGCTGCGGTGCAGACCCCATTGTTTGCCATGGTTCCCCATTCAGACTCTGGAAGATGCTGCCTAAGTCTGCCACGCAAGGAGCTGCATCCAGACTTCAGGTTTTGCTGGTGCTGCTTCTGGCCATTTCAGGAGGTTAGAAGAGTCACACTCTCAAGCCACTAATGTCTGAAGTGCTTGGAGGGTCCGACATGCAGGAAATTTAAACATTAAAAAGTATCTAAAAGTAGAACTACCATTTCATCTAGCAATCCCCCTGCTGAGTACCTACCCAGAGGGAAAGAAGTCATTATTCGAAAAAGATACTTGCACATGAATGTTTATAGCAGCACAATTTTAAATTGCAAAATTGTGGACCTAAATGCCCCTCATAAAGAAACTATGACATATATATACATATATATGTATGTATGTGTGTGTGTGTGTATGTATGTATATATATATATCTGTGGTTTTATGCTCAGGTCTAGATCATATATATGAGATGAAATACTATGCATCCATAAAAAGGAATTAATTAGCAGCATTTTCAGTGACCTGGATGAAACTGGAGACTGTTATTCTGAGTGAAGTAAGTCAGGAGTTGAAAAACCAAACATTATATGTTCTCACTGATATGTGGGAGCTAAGCTATGAGGACACAGAGGCATAATAATGATAAATGGACTTTGGGGACTTGAGGGGAAGAATGGGAGGGAGTCAAGGAGTAAAAGACTGCAAATAAGGTGCAGCATAAGGTTTGCGCTGTGGCAGTATCGTAGCCAATGAGGTTTATCCGAGGCGCGGTTCTTGCTAATTTAAAACTTTTCCCAATGCCCCGCCGTGACGACTTGCAATACAGTCGGCACTGGCCATTTTCGACAGTGTCTACGGAGACTGATAAAAAAATAAGTAAATAAGGTGCAGTGTGTACCACTCAGGTGATGGGCGCACCAAATCTCACAGATCACCACTAAAGAATTTCCTCATATAACCAAATGCCACCTGTACCCCAATAACTTACGGGAAAATAAAATAAAACAAACATAAGTAAGTAAATGCAGGTTACACCTGCTTTGAGATCCCGTGGCTCACTTACCCTGTCTGCGTCTGGGGGTCCCCACGTGGAGATCATTGCTTGCACAGAGGGTGGATCTGAATCTCTCTGAGCAGGACCAAGCATGGAGAGTGTGAAACGCTCACTATCTCCACAGAAGAACCCATGTCTTAGGAAAAATCTTTATCTTTGTCAAAGATGTTTATTCTGTGAGGGTGAGAAGTTATGTGTCATGTTAAGTGAGTGGCATTTTTTACAAATGCTGACAGTGTTGAGCAGAGCCTGGGATGACATCGTTCGTGAGAAACCAGGCTCAGCTGCACAGGAGACTGGGGGGCAGCACTGAGGCTGTGGTTTCAAGCCTCTCTCATAAGCCACGCCAGGACACATCCAGAGGCTTCCAAGGCAGAGACAACACCTTTATTAGGATCTTTATTCAACATCACATCAGGAACACAAAGCTCTCTAATTCATTTGAGTTATTACGTATAATATCAGTACATTTTATTTATTTATTTAGTATACTTTAATTTCTGGGGAAATTAAAGTATACCTATGTGTATGTGTATGTGTATACCTATGCAATATGTGCAGATCTTGAAGGATTGTTACATAGATATACACATATACACATGCCACGGTTGTTTGCTGCCTCCATTCCCCCATCACATACATTAGGTATTTCTCCCAATGTTATCCCTCCCCAATTTCCCCACCCCTGCTATCCCTCCCCTAGCCCCTCACCCCCCAACAGACCCCATGTGTGATGCTCCCCTCCCTGTGCCCATGTGTTCTCATTGTTCAACACCCACCTATGAGTGAGAACATGCAGTGTTTGGTTTTCCGTTCTTCCGTCAGTTTTCTGAGAATGATGGTTTCCAGATTCATAGATATCCCTGTAAAGGAAATTAACTCATCCTTTTTTATGGTTGCATAGTATTCCATGGTGTATATGTGCCACATTTTCTTTATTCAGTTTATGATTGATGGGCATTTGGGTTGGTTCCAGGTCTTTGCTATTGTAAACAGTGCCACAATGAACATACATGTGCATGTGTCTTTATAATAGAACAATTTATAACCCTTCAGGTATATACCCAGTAAAGGGATTGCTGGGTCAAATGGAATTTCTATTTCTAGATCCTTGAGAAATCACCACACTGTCTTCCACAATGGCTGAGCTAATTTACACTCCCACCAACAGAGTAAAAGCATTCCTATTTCTCCACATCCCCTCCAGCATCTGTTGTCTCCAGATTTTTTAATGATTGCCATTCTAACTGGCCTGAGATGGTATCTCAATGTGGTTTTAATCTACATTTCTCCAATGACCAGTGATGATGAGCATTTTTCATGTTTGTGGGCTGCATAAATGTTTTCTTTTGAAAAGTGTTTGTTCATATGCTTCACCCAATTTTTGATGGGGTTGCTTGTTTTTTTCTTGTAAATTTGTTTTAGTTCTTTGCAGATTCTGGATATTAGCCCTTTGTCAGATGGATAGATTGCAAAAATTTTTTCCCATTCTGTTGGTTGGCAGTTTACTCTAACGTTTGTTTCTTTTGCTGTGCAGAAGCTCGTAAGTTTAATTAGATACCATTTGTCTGTTTTGGCTTTTGTTGTCATTTTTTTTTTTTGGTGTTTTAGTCATGAAGACCTTACCTATTCCTATGTCCTGAATGGTATGAACAAACTCCCATTCACAATTGCTACAAAGAGAATAAAATATCTAGGAATACAACTAACAAGAGATGTGAAGGACCTCTTGAAGGAGACATACAAATCACTGCTCAAGGGTATAAGAGAGGACACAAACAGATAGGAAAACATTCCATGCTCGTGATTAGGAAGAATCAATATCATTGATACTGCCCAAAGTAATTTATAGGTTCAAAGCTATCCCCATCAAACTACCATTGACCTTCTTCACAGAACTGGAAAAAACCACCTTAAACTTCATATGGAACCAAAAAAGAGCCCGCAAAGTCAATAAAATCCTAAGCAAAAAGAACAAAGCATTATACTACCTGACTTCAAACTATACTACAAGCTACAGTAATCAAACAGCATGGTACTGGTACCAAAACAGAGACATATAGAGCAATGGAACTGAATAGAGGCCTAGGAAGTAATGTCACACATCTATGACCATCTTATCTTTGACAAACCTCACAAAAACAAGCAATGGGGAATAAGTGTTGAATAAATGGTGTTGGGAAAACTGGCTAGCCATGTGCAAGAAGCTGAAACTGGACCCCTTCCTTACACCTTATACAAAAATTAACTCCAAATGGATTCAAGATTTAAACCTAAGACATAACACCATAAAAAACCCTAGAATATCAGTATGTTTTAAAGTCCAGTGTCTTCTGTGAACGAAAACCTTCCTGCATGTCTGAGGTATATCAGGTCAAAATTTCATCTTCTTCACAGCTATGTGCCTCTATATCAGCTGCCCCCAAAATTCACCTTCATCTCTTCTTTCTAGGAGCTTCTCTCTGTTTCTGGCTCCATGCCGAGGTAAAACCATTCAGTTTTGACTGTTGGGAATGTGTCAGTCTATCCCACCATTTGGGTTCCACCCCCATTCATGCTAAACTGCCCTGGAGGATGCATGAGAAATTTGGTCTTTGGGACCCACTAGGTCCACGGCCCTGTGCAGCCCCCACATGCCTATTTTTTTTTATCACCCTTAGTGTCCTCCACACACTCTGTCCTAGGGTCCACGGCCTTCTATGGTGTGAAGCATCGGGTGAACCTCAGCAGAGCTGTGGGGTGGAGGTAAGGTAGCCCAGCAGACTGGGCACATCACGGCCACAGAATTCCCATTGCATGAGGCCCAGAGGAGCATCTTTCAAGAATGAGAGGTCGGCAAGTCAGCCTGAGGGAATGGCGAGCTGGACACCCTGGGGCCCCTCACTCTCGTGCGAGCCTCTCCTGACCAGGAGAGCGTCAGGGCAATGGTGGACGGGGCCCCCGCTCTGAACTGAGAATCGAACAGTAGCCTGTCCCGTGGCTGTCTGAGTGACGATGGCTGGCATAAAGAAGGGAAGAGGCCCTGATAATGGACTCCATGGGGGCCACTCGAATGCATGAAAACTATGGCTTTGGGGAGATGCAGAGAGCCCACTGTGGGGCAAGATGGGTGGAGTCAGGGTGGGCGTGCTGGGTGCTGGGTGGATGGCAGGGAGGAGTCCTCCACTGCAGTCAGGGGCAGAGCTCAGCAATCAGGGGCTGGCGGGAAGGATTCTGGAGGAGCCACAAGAAAGACAACGAAGGGGAGCTGTGGTGCCCACTGTGGCAGATGACTGCAAGGAAGCCTGAGCAACGCCTTAGTTCTAGAGCAGTGACCACACATGTACCCTCAGCCTTCGAGTCCTGGGGAGATGTGGATGTCATAAATAGGGGAACATGGAGAACACCCGGATCATAAGGTTCCCCGTCCATTTCTGCAGATTGTGGCTCAGCGCCAGGCACTGAGGAAGGCTTCTGGATCTTATCTCCAGCCAGGGACACTGGAAAACCAGCAGCATGGGCATGGGCCCACTGTGCGACAAGAAACAAGAGCAGTATTGACCCTCAGGGAGAAGCTGTGAACAAAAGCACAAGTCCCAGCTCTGAAACACAGTGGTGAGTCCCCTCAGAAGGGTGTGTCGCAAAGGTTAGGTCTTGGGAGCGTCTCAAGGCAATCAGAAGGGTGAGATGCTCTCACCCCAGAAGACTTGGTGTTTTCACCACTTTGGGACAAGTTTACACCTAAGAAAAGCAAAGAGACAGAGGGTAGAAAAACCCATGATGTGAATGGGTCCGGCGAAACCTAAGAGGAAGAGCAGAGAACGCATTTACCTGGGTTTGAGACTTCTTAGGACACCTCAGACCCTTTCTCCAAATGGAGCACTTTCTCCAAAGTGTCCTTAAGCAAACCACCTCTGGCTTCATGTGATGTTCCAGAAGCATTAGGGTCAGTCCTTTCTGGTGTCTCATGGAAGCCCTGTAGACAGCTGCTTTATAAATGCTGAAGGATGCAGACTGCTTGGAACAGGTACATGCTGATCATTCAAAAGTAACTCCCCAAGGTCTCAGACAAAATTGAGAAGCTATTGCACTGGTTGTGAGCCAGTTCAGAGGAGAACAAAGTGCATTTTCTCTGTGTGAATTCGAGAGGGCTTTATACAGCTTAAGGAGATCTGGACCCTAGGATTAGCTTTCGGGGAAGGCACAACATGAATGTTCTGGGGTGCCAGACTCTCTTCTGGCTGAGTAGATCGCTCAGGGGTATTCCACTGGGAGATGCCCCAGGAGAAAAGGCCCCCTGGATGCAGCATAGGAAATTGTCAGGGCGATGGGAACTCCAGTCACAAAACACCCATTTCCCCCGGTTTAACTCCTTCACCTAGTCATGAGTGTTCCACAAAATCTTCAAGGACCTACCATTTTTTTAGGAACATTCCTCAAATAAAGATTAAGCTAAAGAACCTCATACACCCTTTCTGGTTCTTAATTTCCATGAAAATCTATAATTTTATCAGTTAACAGTTTTGTGCATTTTCCAATGCAACATGTAAATGATGTTCATTTAAAGCGTCCAAAAAAAAAAAAAAAAACAGTGACTGTTATTTGAATAGGTGCTGACTGGAAATCAGGCTGATTGTGCCAAGAAAAGGCTTTATGGGAATTGTTTGTGTAGAAAGGTAAAAGAGAAACAATTTTAAATTACAAGAATTTGTTGCAGCAGAGGAGACACGGTCGAGAATGGACATGGGTCTTAATTGTGCTAATGTTTCTCTCTTTGCTGTATATTAACTATGTGATAGCAAAGACCATGGCTAAGCATGAATGGACA